TTGAAATTTTGATTCTGGACTTTAACCTGTTGCTTCAAATTCACGATTTTAAACCAATATAATTCAGGATATCAATAATAATAATTATTATCAATTAAAATCAATCAAATTAAAAGATGTTTTGGATAAAAATGTTTAACGTATTTAATCTACGTATCCTACCCAAATTTGCATGAATCGTTGGAGGGGTAACAAATATATGTTTTAGGCTGGTCTAAATGTATTATGGTGAACGGTTTCTGCCACAGATACATTTAAATTGCTTTATATCTGATATACAAGATTAATACAATATTACTATCAAGTTTTACAACATTTTCTCCTCTTTGATTTGCCTTTACGATCAGTGTCTACATTCACAATCTCGTCACCACTACTATTCATACGACCTATCCCTTCTCGGGTAGACGTCACAGTTTGACTTTTGATTCTGGCAACAACCTTTGAACCTGGAAATAAGAGAAATACATTTCAATGTAGCCTATATTCAAAACAAGTTTTCGAATTCAGTGGTGGGTAGTTAAAGGCCCATTAAGCCTTAAAATTATATTATTTTATTTCTGAAAAGCTTTTTACCATTTTGATTATTTTTGCTTCCTTTCCGACATTGTTATTTTTCACACATTTAGTACTATTTTCTTCAGGTGATCTGCATCTCACGTGACGTGTTCTTAATCAATTTATTACAACATTGTTTTATTTTACCTTTCCAACGAATGAAAATTTGATTAATTTTGGACGAGTAATGTGTCTTTAAACAAACAAATCAATGACATAAAATCTTCGTGGTTAGATAATATAATCAAAATATCACCACAAAAATATGAAATTACTGCCAAGGGCCCATTATGCCCTCGAAATGATTCTATTATTATTTCTCAAAATATTTTTTTATTCTTGGTGACCTTTTATTGTGTCCAAAAAGTTACTCATTTGTCAATTATCTGAACAATCTTTTACATCTGTTGCTTTTTGGCAATGAGTACAGTTATAGTGATATTAAACAAATGTAAGAAGTCAAGATACTGTTTACATTTTATTACTTAAAGAACAAATAATTTAATAATTTATCTAGCGTCACTTTCTTCAAATGATGTACATCTAACACGCTCTAAAACTTTGTTAAAACTTGATAAAACTTACATTTGCCCTATCTGATAAAGTAAAAATATATATATTCATTTCTGGAGCATAATGTGCCTTTAAAAGATCTTAAATTCTAAAATGTACTATCATGTTCTTGTAGTCTATTCGTAAATAGATTCTACATATGGTAGCAAAATGTGCTTTACATGCATGAATTAGTATGAGTAAGTAAAGCTTTTATTATAAGTAAATAAAGCTTTTATTATGAGTAAGTAAAGCCTTTATAAAGTTTTTATATATCTGTATTAATATTTGTTTACCGATGGAATGAAAGAGCCTTTCTACATTGTATCCTGTCTTTGCTGAAGTTGTCACAAACTGTAAACCATGCTCCTCTGCAAAACTTAATGCCATCTGTCGAAAAAAAAATCAAATAACTAATATCTGATTATATACATGTATTTTGAATAGCAAAGTTCATAAATTCAAAATATCACTTCCAATTTTTGGTGTAGTGTTTATTCAATGATAGCAAAAATATCTACATAAATAATGGAAATGTAGTTTCTGTTGTAAAACTATATCTATAAAAATTTTATTGTTCTTTATAACCAAACAGTTTTTCACATTATACGAGAACCTAAATTGAATGAAACACTAATTATAGTCTTTATTAACTTTCTTAACGAAGTAACCCAAAGCTAAATTTGCATATCCTCGTGAGTAATGTAAGAAATTTAAATTTGGAATGCAGTGCAATGAGTAGATATATGATCATTGCTAAATGCATATGAATGCAGTAATGAACTGAGTGGCGGTCTGGCTTAGTAAAGATTGCCGGCAATAATCATAATATTTCGTTACGGAACATTTTATTTTGTTTACGTACATTTTTCATGTTATTACAGAGGCATTTTATATAAATCAACCATATAATAATACAACCAATATAATTTTACTTTTGATAAATTTTATCAAAATATTTCATAAGATATAATTATAAGATTTCAAACCATATAAGGGTCACATAGTGCATTGTGCATTAAAATAACCTTTCTTTGTTTGTTTGTTTTGTTGTTTTTTTTTTGTTGTTTTTTCTCACGACCGCTTAAAATAGAAATACTGAATGGTACAATGTGTCTCTTTTCTTCTTTTTTTTCAAAGAACCAGGAAGAGATATACAACAATAAGTTGCGAGTATAACAAACGACATATCTGAAAAAAATTTCCATCATACTTTTAAGTCATCAACAACGAATGATAAAATATGCCTAATCTCTGTTAAACCGTGAGTTGATGTTTTGTTATCGATTGCAGTCCAATACAAGATATTTACATTTAACTTAATTCGAGTAGATTCTATCAAGATCAAAAGATCTTTGAACACGTTTGTCTAAACAAACATTTGACGTAAAGACAAATCAATGCTTCAAATATAAAATCGTATGAATAATTTGCTAGCTGACAGTAATTCAATAATTTTTTCTTCAAAAACTTCACAGTTGTGCACCTATATATATTTTCATTCCAATTATGCGATTGATTATAACGATAATAACCAAAAACAACTCCCCCAATAACCTATTCTTTATTGTTCATTAATAAATATTCAATAGATATAAAAGATATCAAATTATAAAAATGCTAGAAATTTAGTAGCTCTATGGAGACGTAACCTCCGAGAAAGAATTTGTTTTGTACTCTCATCACCCTATCTATTAAGTATCATAACATTTTTTTATTTTTTTGTTCTGAGAATTGTTCCCGCAGCCTGGCGTATCTAAATATTTTGTAAGGCAGTTGTTTGAATTTTGGTGATATATTTCATGGCCAAAACAGAAGCACGTCTTTTCTATTGATTTATGAAATTGATAGGTCATGACCCCATAAAAGGTCACATGTTAGTTACCCACACATATGTATAACATTAAATAGACGATTGTTTTAAAGTAGTTATACCATCTGTTCTAGAAATATAACAGTTGCCGAATCAGTCGCATAAATAAGCCTGAAAATTCTAAATTTAACAAGAACTGTCGGAGGACAGTAACGCTTGACTATTCGAAAAGTTGTCACAAGGGTGTTTCATCGAGTATAATAATGCTTAGACCTATGAATACATAAAATTGTCCGAAAAGGTACAAAGGCTTGTTATTAAGATGTTTTATCGAGTAAATCACTGCTTTATTATAATGAATGCATAAAATTGTCCCAAAACAGCACACACCCTAGATACCAGCTTACAAGCAAAACCTTTACCAAGAATTTCGAAGCCGAAAAGGGGGCATAATTATGAACAAAAACAAATCAAGAGTTATGGAACTTATGCCAATCATGTAAGATAATCACAGAGAACAAGTGTGTGAAGTTTTAATTCATTCCCTTCAGTAGTTATGGAGATACCAGCTTACATACAAAAACTTTACCAAGAAGTTCTAAGCCGAAAAGGGGGCATAATTATGAACAAAAAGAAATCAAGAGTTATACTACTTATGCCAATCATGTTAGATAATCACATAGAACAAGTGTGTGAAGTTAACAGCAGTTATTGAGATACCAGCTTACGCGCAAAAACTTAACCAAGAATTTCTAAGTCAAAAAGGGGCATAATTATGCAAAAAAGCAAATCAGAGTTATGGGACTTGTGCCAATCATGTTAGATAATCACAGAGAACAAGTGTGTGAAGTTTCAATCTATTCCCTTCAGTAATTATAGAGATACCAGCTTACACCAAGAATTTCTTAAGTCGAAAAAGGGGCAAAAAAGCAAATCAGAGTTATGGGACTTGTGCCAATCATCTTAGATAATCACAGAGAACAATTGTGTGAAGTTTTAATCCATTCCCTTCAGTAGACATGGAGATACCAGCTTACAAGCAAAAACTTAACCAAGGATTTCTAAGTCGAAAAAGGGGCAAGAAAGGCAAATCAGAGTTATGGGACTTGTGCCAATCATGTTAGATAATCACAGAGAACAAGTGTGTTAAGTTTCAATGCATTCTCTTCAGTAGTTATGAAGATACCAGCTTACATGCAAAAACTAAACCACAAGGACGCCGACGCCATCTGCGAATAGTCGAGCTAAAAATTGGGTTTTGAGAAAGAAAGTAAATACTTTGATACAAGAACGGCAGGTCTTACTTACTTTTTTCGTCAAAAAACTGACTTTTTGCCCAAATTTTTTGGGGCTACAAAGGCTATTGATACCATATCACAGTGGTGTTTTTAGAGATCAAACCCAAAAAAACTATATGAGAAAAATTTTCCCAAAAATCAAAAACTTTTTCCATACCAAAAATTTAATTTTTAAATAAAAAGGGGAACATTTTTAGATATGTGTTTTTTTTCATTGTTTTGGGGCAAGGGTAAACCAAACTGGGAAAATTTTATTCGGGCAAAAAACCCTTAAAAAAACAAAGGTTCTTTAAGCTCACAGATAAATTGACCCTTTTTTTTTAAAAAATTTCTTTGTTAATGCTCTTTTTCCCGTATTTGCAAAACAAAATTTGAATTAAATTTAAAATTTTTTTAATAACCAAAAGGGTGTGAAAACATTTTAATTGTCAGAAACGTTTTCGGTTCAGTTGAAGACTGAAAATGATTTACGTTTGTAAACTTTAGTTCGCTCAAAATAAATTGTTTGCGGTATTAGATCTGTCATTTTTAAAGAACTGAAGAACTTGTTATAATGCCATTCTTTGTCTACTTTAAGCTCAACATATGTCTTGCTTTTTGATAAAAGTCATTTATATATTAACACAGACAGTAATATGATTGCACAACCACGGTACCTCGGTCGTTTAATGCACTAACGTTCTTTCCGATTCACAACCTAGATGATACCTTGGGGTGGGGATCACAGGAGGCACAGTTTTGAAATCATATAATAAGATAATTTAACATATGATGCTAATTCACGCAGACAGAAATAAACTTACTGGATCAGTAATGTCATAAACAATGAAAGCCATGTGTGCTCCACGCAGATACATAGGAACCAAACTTTTATACCGCTCCTGGCCGGCCGTATCCCATATTTGAAAATGTATCACGTCACTCTTTACTATCGCAATCTTTGATATGAAACTAGCTGTCAAAAGAGTGCAAACAAAATGATTCTTATTTTTCCTAAAATATTCTTCCGTTGCGGAAATATATACAATTACTAGCACTTTACATTTTGGAAATGAAATCGCTAATTCATTTAAAAAATAGAAATGTTTTTTGTAACAATATTTTCATTGAGATAACAAATATTCAAAGTTAGGTATGTGACCATTATATACATGATGAAGTTATATCATATATGATCTTCAAAAACTTACCACCAATAGTTTGTTTATATCTATCATCAAATTTGTCTTGTGAAAATCTCATTGCTATCGACGTTTTACCGACATTAATATCCCCAATAAGAACAACTTTTAACTTGAAAATATTTTCAGAACTATGAAAAAACGCTGGTTGAGCACGTGATCCGGGGGATCCAATAAAAGTATCATGTGTTTTAGGTTCATTGTCGTCGGAATGTGTAATACCCTCATCTCCAGAGTCGGAGTCCGAGTCGGACATGACGTTGGTTACTCGTTCCAGGCTGTCGTCGTCCCTGAACATCATAGGTTTTTATACTTTTAATTGTAAATAACAACATCCACTTAATATCTCTTTCCTTTTTTCTTTTTTTTCCTCTTTTTTCTAGTTGAATTTCAAGCTAGATAACTTGTAATATTATTTTTCGATGGAAAGATGACTTTTATCCCATGATCTGTCAGGTTTGTTAAAATTCAGTAATTGATTTTGATTAATATATGATATATCCGAATTGTGTTGGGATAAAAATTTATAATTCATATCCCTGTTGTTAAAAATATCTCGATCTCACTGATATCCGAATGTTAAACTTCAGTTATGTTTCTATTCACTTCAATGATTAACTCATACACATTTTTTTTATTTTAATTTACTTCCGCCTTTTCGGTTGACACAATTGTCCGACGCATACACATCTTTATAAATACATGTGATTATTTCGGTTAAATACTGATATAATTTCCTTGAGAAACTAATAAACTGAAAGTCAGTTTGATACAACCACTAGAAACCGAAAGTAGTTTCGAAATGGAACTGAAACGCACAGACGAACGAACATTTATCTTCGATCATACCTCATATTTGGTCATATCATATAGTATGTCAAAATGAGGTTTTTCTGATCTGTTTACCTTGTCACTACTTCCTAATTCAGTGTCTGATAAGTATTTACTACTTTGGAGCGCATGAAGTAAATGTGTCGCTAATAAAGACTAATATGCTTTAAGATAAGTGATATCAAGTATTGTTTTACATTTTAACATGTTTCGTAAGTGACCTATATATATACAATGTTTAAATCTCACATTAGACTACTTTTTCGGATCTTAAACGTGGTTTAACTCCAGTATGTTAATGTTCAGGCATACCGGAATTGGGGGTGGAGCGGGGGTTTTCCTTTATTCCGATACTCAAACCTCACAGTAATTATTAACATAGTTAATACTAAATTTTTGGCATTTTAAAAAATGCCTTTAGGCTTATAAATTCAACAAACCCATGACTTCTTGAAGCTGCAAAAAGTTAAATTTTCAGGATATGTACGGCGGTTTTGATTCCCCAAAAAGCGGAAGTTCTTGAAAAGCGCGCGTCAAACTACACAATTGCGAAAAAGACGGACAATGACAAATAATGGCGCGGAAATTGCAGATCTATTTCCTCTGACCTAGTGACATTGCTAGTATGCAGTGATCATATGATTAATATGCGCGTCAGTTTACTATATGTATATACAATGTTTACACTGTGAGAAACCAGTTCAGGACAATTAAGGACATGAATGCTGACACGTCCGAGGTACATACTCTTAGTGCCTGAAAGGGCGGATGGGTCCTCATTGAGTCTAGAATACACACATACATTTCAGGACAGTGTGAACAATGAAAAATTGGTCAAGGTATATCAAACACAATATGAGACAAATATAACGCTTAATAAATTAGGTAAACTACATAGCATCGTGATGTATCTTTACTCATCACATGTTCGTCATATTACAATAGAATAATTGTTTTGAAACAATTTATAAGCGCAAAATCACTTTCAATGTAATCTCCATCATTTTCTATTTTTCTAGCTGTACATGTCATTGGTTATACAAGTGTTGCTGACAGTTCGGTACAGTAATGCTTTTGTTTTATAACTGTATGAAAATAATAAGAAGGAAAAAATGTTAAGATCTCCCAACAATATCTCAGTCTTTTACTGATGAATGTTTAGGGTTTTCTTGTTGTTGTTGTTTTTGTTTTTTGTTGCTGTTTTGTTTGTTTTTAATTGCCCAGGAAAACATTACTAAACGTTCATTCAATCAATCCATCAATCAATCAATAATTTTTTTCTGTTCTCTTTTTTTTTTTTTTGGGGGGGGGGGGGGGGGGGGGTAATTATTGTAGTGGTATGTCGTTTTTGGTACAGATAATCATAAAATCATCAATATAGTCATACTCCTTTATTTTGCAGTTTAGTTGTTTAGTTTAATTATGTTACTAACAGTTCTTCATCAAGTAAAATACGTACATCACGCAAAAAACAACATTGAAACAGCATGGAAGTTTACATTTTAGTTCAGGTGGTCAATGCAAATTAATTTAATGAATATCCAGTTAAAAAAGTTTAAAAGTATGTTGATGATTTATGAAACTAGATGCCCCCACTGTGCAGATGTGCTCGTAAACAAGAGCATGCATGTCTGTATGTAAGATTTTTATGTGGAACTTTTTATTAAAATCTGCCATCCGGTTTAAGACGAGTAGTGTTCACAAAATTTCTATATGCTATGGTATATAGTGAAAAAATCAACAAAGGGCCATAATTCTCTTAAATTTGGTTGCAGCAAAAATTCCTTCCTTTACTACCATCTACACATTAAGGTTGTTCATCCCTGGAAGTTTAAGCAAAATCTGCCATCCGGTTTAAGAGGAGTTGCGTTCACAAGATTTCGGGACGTACGGACGGACATTCCAACATTTTGGGTTTAGGGGCTATTTTCTTTGTTTTCTTAAGGGCTACTAGCCCCTAAACCCTTTGATCACGGAATGAACCTATTGTTCTCTTTACTGTTATATAGCTCCTAAACCCAAAATGTTTGCTCGGATGGACGGACAAGTGCAACACTATATGCACCCCACTTTGTGAGGGCATAAAAGGCTATATCAGTTTCTATATATCTTTTTCTTTCTTTCTTTTTTTTTTTTTTTGCTTGGACTGTCCTTCAACCATCAATAGGTTTGGTCAAATCTATTCGCTGGTAATAGAAAGTTCTGGTGGCTTGTGGCTTGCAATAAATGGGCCTAATATGTATACGATCAGATTACAAGAATACTTAACCACAAAGTTTAGACTAAATATGTCTAACCAATACTTGTTGTTGTTGTTGTTATATAAGGAACATTGTCATGCCCAGTAGGGATTGAACCCACCATGCTTTTGTTAAGAGACAGACACCCAGACTTTTTAAACAGTTTTCCCCTAAGACTAAGGAAAACAATTACGCTTTCACAGTAAAAAACACTCATTATCCATGTTAATAACCTATACACGCTATCTACCCATTTTTTTGGGAAGGCATAATGCCAGAACATGTACAAATTCAAGCAATAACCATTGCAAACAAGGCGTGATACTAGGGATAACACCTGGTCATGCCCGTGAAACATTGACCTTTGAACTATGGACCATTTTACAACTGTTACAGTAACCTTACCCCAGTGGCCCCAAATCCGTCATTAAATTTTTCCCCCTTTAACCCAAAATATGGAAAAATATAAATTAAATAAAAAGGGTTTAAATTTGGAAAGAAATTTAAGATAAAGTAAACTTGCGGGAATGGTTTAAAACCAAAAAATTTTAAAAGGGCAATTTTTACCCATTCTTTTTTAAATAACTTATGTAGAGTATCACAATGTGATTCTACCTGCCAAGTATCTAAAAGCTCTGGGCATTGTACTTTCAGTAAAGACGTGTAAGACATTTTAACTATTCAAGTTTAGGTAAACTAAGTGACCTCCATGGCATGGCCATTTTTTGACTCAGGGGCATGACTTAAAAACTTAGTAGAGATCCACTGGGTTAAGCTTTTTGTATTGTAGTTTCTGAGGGGAAGATAATTAAGATCTTTTTACAGTACATGTCAATATAAATTGACCCAGGGGTGGGACCCTTTAGACATGATTGACATATCTTTTATAGAGATATAGGTCCACTTGGCAATGCTCCATGCCAAATATCTTAGCTCTGGACATTGCATTTTCATCAGAGTAGACTTATATGTATTTTCTTATACAAACTTATGTTAACTAAGTAACCCCTAGAGTAGGGTCAAATTTGACACCAGGGGGCATGATTTATAGAACTTTTGTAGAAGACCACAAAGTGGTGCTACATAGCACATAGTAGTGACTGAGAAAAAGATTTTTATAGATTTCATTTTTAAAGTCTAATTTTAGCTTCTGTGACCTACTTATGCATAATTACGGACAACACAAACAATTAACAAAGGACAAATTGCCATCACAAAAGCTCATCTTTGAGCACAAAGTGCTCTGGTGAGTTAAAATCAAGACTCCTCTATTGCTTAAGATCTAGATTTGCATGATGTTACACATCTTTTCATAATGGTGAATATTTTGTTGCTACTTTAATAAAACTCCACCTAAGAATGACAAAGTTATGATTGGGATGTATTACAAGTAAATAAAGTCTTTTATTTACTGTCAGATGGCACCAGTCAGTCAAATCGGACTGACAGACAGACAAGGTAAAATTTCTATAATGAGCCCTTCATGACAAAAACCCAAAAATGATGGGTTTTTTCGACCAAACCCTGGATCCCCCGACCCGCCTGCGCATTTCCCCGTTTTCTGATCAGGATCCATTTCTGTTCGCTATAGTTTCTCTACTTGTAAATGATTTGGTTTAAGGGGAAAAAGATGGGTCCCGAAACAGGCTGCGCGGGTGCCAGGCTTTGGGCTGGATCCATGATGGTCCGGGGCTCCTATTTTCTTTTGGGCATGAAAGGGGGCTCAAAATGGTTAACACAGTGGAGATAAAAAATAGCAATTCTTTCTTTACAATAATGATAACTTTATTACATTTATAACCTTCTGTAAAATAAATTGTGCAAAACACACACCTGTCTCATTTTGTTCATATAGTAGCAAACATGTTTTCATCTTATATTTTAAAATGAATTTAAATCAAAAACAAAAATGCTACTTAAAATAGATAGAAATACATACAACATTACAAGAGCTGTCAGTAAGACGGTTATATTATTATTATTCTCAGTGCTTAGGCCATCCTTAAAATATTGTTTGTTTGCAGTAACCCGACCCAGAATTTTCAAGGTGGGTAGGTAGGTCGATTTTTTTTTTTTTTTTATTGAACTATACTCCCAAATAAACATGGAATTTCAAAATGCTGGACAATATATGCTTTGATAATCTGGTAACAATTAATAAATTGATAACTGAATTCTAATTCAATAAGACCTACATTTTATTTCTTCCATTAACCTTTAAAAGAACGAAAACAAAGCACAAGGCATAATTTTGAGATTCAAAAAAAAAAATTTTTTATCCAGACCATGAAAAAAATTTTGAGTAGGTGCAAATTTTGTGAGTCGGTCGCATTACTGCAAACAAACATTTTTTTAAGGATGGCCTAATAGTGGTAAAATATGAACCCTGATAATTAACATGTATAAATTAACTAAGAAGAGAAATTCAACCAAGATACATGACGTAACTATGAGTCTTGGACATTGACCAAGGAATTTTTAAGTTCTCAAAAGGCTATACTTAAATTTATTTAACTAGACCTCCGTGAGTCGGATGTGTTGTATAGCTGTCAGTTAGGCATTTTCTTCTTAAATATAAGTTATTCATAAATACTGCTCTTGCGATGTACATGTACCATTAACTTTAGTGGCATTTGAACTGATTGTAACAATGTTATGTCAAGATTAATAAAACTGTTATATTATCAAAAATAAGATAAAAAATTTATACCATGAAAATATTTTACACTGACAGATCAAATGGAGGACTCTGTGATAGATTCTTAAGCACTGCACTTCAGGTCAATGAAAAAGGCTTACATGTATACCAAATTTGAAGTCAATCAAACTTATAGTGACCAAGTTATGCTCTGGACAAGTCTATTTACTTTAATTAAGTATGAAAATTAACAAAGGGCAATAACTCAAAAATCATGAAATGCAGAGTACAATTCTTGTGCACTGCACTTTTTCTCAATGAGATCTATCATTCTATTAAGTTTCAAGTCAATAGCTTTTTAAGTGTAGGAGAATTGGCCCAGACAAAAATAAAGAATGAAAATTAACAAATGGCAATAACTCAAAAATCATAAAGTACAGACTCAGAATACCGGCTTTTTGTGCACTGCACTTTTTCTCAATGAGATCTATCATCCTATTAAGTGTCAAGTCCATAGCTTTTATAGTTTAGGAGAAATGGTCAGGACAAAAATAAAGTATGAAAATAAAAAAGGGCAATAACTCAAAAAATATTTTTCAAGGTGACACAAAAATACATGTAATTCCAGAGACATGAATTTAATTTCCTGTGAATACCAACAGTATTTTTAATATGAATGCATATGTTGCATGCAAAGCTTAAATCAGGAATTTTCTAATATTAAAAAGGCCCATAAACAAGTCAAATTCCTTCCAGAGTTATGAAAACTGTACAGTGACCTCCAATTATAATCTCAAAGACACATATTGAGTTTCAACTTTCACTTGAAGTACTTTTGAGGTTGCATCCAAATCTTTAAGCTAAAATTTTTCTAAGTTCACAATATGGCCACAACTCACTAAATATCTTTGTCATAGTTTTGAAGACTAATGTAGTTTTAACCCAGAAATCTTTAAGATCAACAAAGATGGGTGGCATTCAATGACCACCAGCATGCACAGCAGGACACCAAACAAAAACAGGAAAGCATAAAAGGGTTGTAATTCAGTCAAATTCTATGTCAGAGGGCTTAAACAGTGACCTCAAATTATGTTCAAAAAAACAAAAATATATATGAATTAGGAAAGGGATTGGAGCCAAAGTTCAACCCAAAATAAAACATGAAATGACTGCCCTGCCTTCAGTAGTTTAAAGATCAATGGTTTATTCAAAACTGTAATGTTCACCAAGAAACATAATTCATTCAAAATGTCAGAGTGAGTTTAAGCCTCAAATCAAATGAAATGAATAACACGAGTTATTTTGAAAACTGGTGTTGCATGCAAAACTTTTACACAGAATAATCAAAGTCAATATATGGCCAATATTCTATTTAAAATAAAATCCAAACAAGAAATATGGGCATTAAACAGTGATCTCATATTATGATTGCAAAGACATATATTTGCAATGTTACAAACAAATATACTTAATGGTTGATAAAATAATTATGATGTATAATTGTAACAGGAAGATGCAAGTACAACTTCAAATTTAAATGTTATGCAATCTAGGATGGATAGACTTTTAGTGTCTAGGATGGCACCACTATTTCTTCAAACAGTCAAGCTTATATGAAATTCTTATAAACAAATATGGATCAAGCTTTTCTTAATAGAGGATATTTAATGAGTTTTAAGTTAAATACTGAATTTATTGAATGAGTTAAATCAAGTTATATTATGTGAGCCTCTGGCAAGCATATTATTTTATTCAAGGAGTTCAATAAATTCAGTATTGAACTTACATGTATATGATATTCTATTTATCACATATCCAAAATAAGAGTGTTTAAAGTGAAATTTTTAAAAAGAATCATTTTTCAATGATGCGCCTATAGCGTAACGCTAACATTTAGCATGTCTTTACACTATCATGTTTATGTATTAATGCAAATGATATCATTTTAAAATATATGCATGTTAAAACAAAAAATATAAACATATCTTTTTTAATCTTTAAACTAGCTAAAACTAAATTGGATGAAAATAATAATATAATAATTTAACTTTTAAGATGCAATTCACTTTGATAAAAATAAACTTCACATTTAAGCTATGTTTCCAACCTGATAAATCATTAATTTTGAATTATTTTCACAATATCAATAATAGTAATAGTAAATTCCAATTAAAAAAATAGTCAATTTTGATACCAGTTAAGATAAATCTGGATAAGTTGATTAAACATCACAGAAACTCTGGCTTGTCTAGCACAATGACCTAACAGATCTTAGGCAAATCATTATTTATAGCACTGACGTTTCAGATTACTACAATAGTAACAGACTTCCCGAAAGTTGAAAAAAACTGTCAGATATTCGGTCTGACAAACCATGAAAATCTGTCGGACCGAAACGAAATCTGTCGGACCAAATAAAATTGATCAAAATCAAAGAATGACTTGTGTTTGTATTTCTAAGACACTTTTTGTTTTTATTTTTTTCGCCGTAAAAATCGGCACATTCCTTACAGCGCATTTTCATCTCCTCCCTATCATAGTTCATACACCAACGATTCACTGTCTTGCTTCTATTTTTCATTAAATTTTGTCTCGGGTCTCTTCTTTTTATCCTTTTACTGCTGTTTTGCCTGTTCCTCTGACGTAGATTTTTTATTTTTCTGAGGTTTGGCACCTTTAGCGACGCCATTTTGTATACATGCGGCTTGGATAAAAGCCACACAGTCGGACCGATCCGGAATAAAAACTCGTCGGACCTGATAAAAATTTATCGGACATGTCCGTCGGACCGACGTATTTCGGGAAGTCTGTAGTAACATCTGGTGGTTCATGCTGCACTTATGCTGATATTAATATCATATCACTGACACATAAAACACATATTATCTCATAAAATTCTTATGACATCTGCATCATAATTCATATATGATGATTACAATGTAAATTTATCCTTTATACATAACAAATATATTAAATATTTACATCATATTTAATATATGATCCTACAATGCAATACATAATTTTCTAACTTTGCAGTCAACCTTTCAAGAAATCTGTTAAAGTGTAAAGTGAGAAAATGCCGCAGCAGCGGCCCTTCACTATACAGTATACTGGAAGAAGAAATAAAAAACTAAGCAAATAAACAAATAAAGAGTAACATATATAATCTGTTTTAGTCAACATAAATGAAGTTCAATTGAACACTGTCTACTTTTCCATAGTAAACGTTTCAACAAAAACTTATCACAAATGAAATGGCATCAACTTAATACGCATACAGTCATCTGGATGGCTAAGAGCTATGTCAACTTGAAGAAGCAAGTCAACATATGGTGGCCAATATTTGTGGTCCATTACTATATAAGGAGAATTTGGAGTGTCAACACAAGCTTTAATCAGCTCGTCAACAATATCCTTTAGAGGTTTTAATGACTCTAATCTTAACAGTTGTGTATCATCACATTCATTCACAGGAATCTTTTTCTTCACCTTGTTAAATGCGTCTTGGTCAGGTAGTGGGTAATGTTCATCTAAAAATGCACTCAATTCTTTCCAGCCTTTACTATTTGCCCTGTCCAATTTGGAGCACTTTGATTCCAGTCTTCTAATAACTTCTGATTTATTATGTTTTTCATGGACAGTTTCTTTTAGTTTCATTGCAGCAGCAGCATAAACTGCTTTTAATTCTTCATTTGTTTTTTCTTCTTTTTCAATATCCTCATTAATTTCTTCTCTTTGTACATTAAGGAAAGCAGCGCATGCACGATACTGTGCATTTCTTTTCAAGATGTCATCTTTTAAAGTGATATACTGCAAGTCTTGATTGTCAGGTAGTGTTGATAATGCAGTTTCCTTCAGTGCATGTAATTGACCGTTCATTTGCTTACATTTTTCTTTCAAGATATTTATATCAACTGACGGTCCCAACTCATTATCTGGTTGATCTGAAAGATCTACCTCCAAAACCTCTGGAGATTTCCTTACAGCGGCTACTCTCCGTGTAAGGGCGGCGTTCTCTTCTTCTATAAGAGCAATTTCACGCATCAAGTCATTCATGATTGCAGTTTATAATCGTTGCAAAAACCATGACACTGTAATTCACGGCAAATACCAAATTCAGTGAATTGTACTTTCAAAATTTTGTTTTGATTTTTCCGCCATTAGTAACAACAACAACAATACGGAATTGGTACGGATAAAAGTAAAGTACGAAAAGGAAATTATTTCGCGAACTGGAATACTTAGGGTTTTGACTCTGACAGTACTGTAGGCGTCCTAGCAGTCTTTATATTGACAAAGCACTAACTAAAATGTGTCTAATTAAGATACTGTGTGATTTTGTTTTGTTTTGTGATTAATTAAAACTAAAGTTGATAGTGTGATTTACAGACGGTTCACACCTTAATCTGACTACTTATTTCTTTTATATAGATTTGAAGACGACTGTATATGTTTCGCCTTCTTTATAATTCAGATTTCCCGAGAAAGCTATTTTAACCATGCAATCAAACCGGTTTTTACATAGGCATTAGGAGAAGTATCAAAATACCGTTATACGTGAAAGTTAAACAAATCAGAGATGTAGATAACAGAGATACGCAGCTCCAATATACTACATTGAAATATCACTCATGTCTATCAAAAAGTGAAATATTATGCATTTTGTAGCAAATAAAACTTAATGGATGTGCATTTGATCCTTTTTATATTATACACCGTTTTAAAGTTAACTCTTTTATCTATTGCTATATGTTAAAATACAAATGTATTGGTTGCTTTTTTTTCCTTGCCTTTCACTTAGTAAAACATAGATATGAATAGTTTTGTAACAAAAACTAGTAAGTAGTAGTCTCTTTAAAAATTGATGTGTCATTTATTTAAATGGGAACTATAAATGTTTTACCTGAAGCCATAGACAAATGCATCAGCTTTCAGAAAATGTATTATTTTACTGATTTTGATATCTTGTCAATAAGTGTTATTTGCTACAAGTTTAAAGTTTAGCAAGCACGCATGATATCTTAACTGGCTAGGAACAAATTGTATATTTTTTGTTAGAAAAAAAAATATTTGAAGTAATTTTTAACAAATAACTTGAAAGAATAGAGTCAATTTTAAATGGACAAGATTGTTTTGCAAGTTTACCTGTCGGCTATATGGACAACGCCATGTTAATTTTCTCGAAATCATAAAATTTACCTACTCAGTATTGGTTTTCCCAGGGTTTAAATTAGAAACCAGATCGCTTTCAAAATTATGAAAAGCTCGCATTTGATTGCCTGTGTGAATAGTCACCAGAAATAATTTCTTATATAGTCACGCTCAGATCTAAAAGCGGAGCGTTATTTAGAGCTGTTTTAATCAGATTGGTTCACCCCTCAGACACTTCACAACATACTATAGTTTATATCTATAAGTGTTTGAAATTTGTACTTCATTTTATTTATTAAAAGTTTATGTTAACTGCAATAATAATAAACATATATCGATAAGAACTTTATTTGTTGTTGACAACTTATTAACTTTATAAAAAATATTGGATGAGGTATTAAGAGTCTTATTGATTTTTTCGGGGGGGGGGGAGGGGGGGCGTGACGTGTCTTCAAAATTTGAAGATTGAGGTGTTTGGGGTGAAGTGGCCTATATGCTCAGATGTCATTCCATAATAAGAATTACATCAATCTACAAGAAAACAAATGCGGGAATTCAAGGTATCATACATTCTGCAATACTAAAATAATAAACTTTTCATTTAAGGGACTCAGGATCTTTTTGAAAGAACCTGATTGAGATATTTTTACATGCATATTAGGGTTTTTTTAAAGGTTTTTTTACGGAACGGGAAGTATTTTCCGAGATTAATGTACAATTAATGTAGGTTGACCAATAACTTCTGTGAAATTTTCAGATCATTCGCACAGTACTGGTTTTTCATAATTATTATTTTGATTGTGGAAGATAACCAAAAAATGAAAAAGCGTCTATATGCTTTTAAGACAATCGGGTCAAGAATCACACAAAAGATTCTAATGTAATTTTTATTATCTTATGTTTATCTTTCCATTTTAACTACTTCATGCTGATAACTACATGCTAATGGCAATAACTCACTGTAATAGTGAGAAACATTTAACAAAATGAGATTCATGGCTGCAAATATTTAATTGTTTCCATAGATGAAGGTACATGACATGTGCAAAAGGTCATTTACTTGCGTAAACTGTAGCAATTTGCCATTTCATGTTTAAATGTTGATTTCTGCTTAAGCCGTTGCTAGGGGACATTGACGGTAGTTTGCACTTGACACTACCGTCCATGAATAGGCTCAATCAAACCGAGCCTGCAACATTTTCAATTTTGCCGCTTGGGCTTTCTTTAGGGATTCTTATTTTCTCTATTGTAACAGTACTGTTGAAAATAGGTTGGCAGAAACAATAATACAATGTACAAATACTAAGAGATTTTAGTATATATCAACTGAACCCCACTGAAAATTGTGACTTCTTCTATCCGCAGCTTCAAACAAATGAAGAAAATATTCCCTTTATTTATTTTACTTTGGTGCAACCAGTACTCGTTAAGTATAAGAGAGATAAGAAAAGTTTTACATTGATTCGATAGATAAATTATTCGACTACATATTACATAATTCCTTTTTATTTATGCTGTATCGTATAAAAAAACTGCGAGGCAAAAACCCTGATTGGGCAGAGACACCTTCTTATGGGAGTTGTTACCCTTGTCTATATACATTGTGTTGTATATATTAGTATATAGTGTAATGGGAATGAACTTAGAATTCATTTCTAAATTAGGATAAATGTTTTCTACCATCAAATACATATTTTGTGAACATTCAATAAGCTGTACCCCTTTGGGACGGTTGTGGTAATTGAAACTATCGCACTTGACCCTAGCAACGGCTTAAGTAGTATTCAATATCAAAAAATTCAATATCTAAAAAGTAAATTGTTGGAATTTGAATTTAGAAACAGAGGTGTTCATAAGACAGTGGCCAAGGAACTAATAATATGACTTGTTCGCGCCATTCCTTGTGTCCTGAACGAGAAAACAATGGGCGGAACTATATGAATTGATTTTTTGAAAAGCGATCAGAGGTTATGAAGCCTGCATGTCACTGAAAAAAAACGGCAAAAACCCAATTTGAAAAAAGGCAACATATCCTATTGATGACTGAAAACTATTCAAGTAATATACTGGAACAGTTCAGTTACAAAAAAAAGTTAAGTAGAAGGAATTGGAAATACCACTTGCGATTATGTTGTGCTGATCCATCTTCAATGATCGAAATAACCTCTTTGATTGAAAGTACGGGCGACATTTTACGGCCTCCGCAAGTCACAAACAACACTGCAGTGACAATGAAATATAGAAATACGTAATCCCTAAAGAAAGCCTAGAACAACAAATTTACCATGTTTTGTAAGTAATTGTGTGAAGAATTTTACATTTATACTTTATTTCAAATGTCATCAACAGAAAATAGATATCCAATGCTTTTTTAGAAAAACGAACGTACTTTCCTTTTTTAGCAACAGATATAATAGGTCTCCACTGCTTTTTTAGAATCACATTTAGCTGCATACGAATGTACTTTCCGTTTTTAAACACATGATCATTTCGTACTTAGCACGTATTAATTACGGGTGATATGGAAAATAGACAAGTCTTCCGGTATGACTCATGCTAGTAACAAACAAAAACGCCCAGCCGACACATTTAAATTCGTTCTCAATTCTTTCGATATCAGACAGTTTCTTTCGTCTGCAAAATCTAATAATAAATTGCTGTTATTTAAGAAGTTTTCTTTTATGGTTTTTGACGCTTATCTGCGTTAAAGCATAAATATATGGTGCAAAATTGAACGTAAAAAGACAAAATCAGATTTCGAAAAAAACGAGTACGAATAAAAATACTTGACATCTGTTCGTGTCTGCCATATTGTATTTATTGATTAAGATATAGTCACTTCCGGGTGTTTTCGAAAATTTTGGAATTTCAAGTTTTATTAATCATGGTTTAAATATTCTTGATATATATAGTTTGCCAAATAAAGCAAAATGGGTATGATAACTTTATGTTTGATATGTTTTAGTGTATGGAAAGTTGTTTGGTTCTTTGAGTTAATCATATTGTTGTGTTTTTAGTATTTTTTAGTTACTGTTTATTACAAAATACATGTAGGATGGTCCCCTATAGTACCATTGTTCATATTATTTTCAGCAAATTGTACAAACAAAAAGAACTTGTATTTACTATTTTATTGAATTGTGTTTAACTGTCACATCTTGACTTTAAAATACACATGTCATGCATAGAATAACTGAATGATTTAAATTAGAAACATCTATGGTCAGTCACGGATTTATATTACAGGGATCGGACACTCCCAGTTAACCCTATATAAATGCTTTAATATCTTGTCGTGCACCCGATTAAGGTACATCGATCGATAATTTACCGGCGCTAAGCGTAAATGCCCGTTCGCAGCGGATACCTACTTTACAAAATACCATACAGCTTTTCCATTTATTATCCGATTTTGGAGATTTAAAGTTTATTTTGAAGAAAAATACTTATTTAATTCAAATATCTAATTTATTTTTTAAAGGTACAGTTTATCTGTCCGCAACGACGGTTAAAAAATTAACTTGACGAAATCCGCGGTAAATTTACATTTTTTATATAAAAAGCAGGTATTTGAAATTTATTATTACGGTACCATAATACTTTCAGTTTCAAAATAAAAAAGAAGCCGATGTAAGTTATTCACAGATGATCAAAGATGCAATATTTAAGATTTATTGGGTTATGTAGTCAAATTTATTAACGCACAATTGTTTTACGGGTAATGTATTGCGGCCTTTACACGTGAAGAAAATTTATTCATTTTTTAGTACAAAATATTGCCGAAATTGTCAATATTGCCATAATTATAGAATATTTAAATTTCATTCATCATTTATATCATTATTATTTTTGTAAATCTGTTTTCAAATGTCGGTGCAGTGAAGTAGACAATCATCGTAACAGTAAAGTTCTCTCGTGTGGCTGTCTCGATTCCGGCCTGTTTAATGTCACTCGTATATTTTAATCCGTATATTTTAATTATTCTTTTTATTTGAATGCCTGTAGAAAGATATTTATGATACTTATTAATGTAACGCTAGAAAAACAATAAAAATCTTTACAGTTTGGGTCAGTATTTTGCGAAATAAAAGTAACTGTTGATTATTTTTTACACATCGCTTAAATTTCTTTCAAGTTTAATTACTTTTGAAGGGGGTAAGTGATAATTAAAAAACTTTATTTCCAAACTTTCATTACCAGGTTACATGTGATAATTGCAACACTCAATCTTCCAAAACAAATAGAATTTGAATGTATATTTTGTATATGCGCGGTCTTTAACTACAGTCCATGGCATATGTGGTAAGAAAATGATTCTGAAGAGGATATATATAAATACAATGTAAATCTATTTTCTTTATTAACATTTATAAATGAAATTGAAAATATACAACTAAATTTGTATAGTGCTTTCTCTGAAAAATAATGAAAATAAACATGTGATAAATAAATCATTTGACGTGAATTGTTAAGGATAACCATGAAAAAAATTATGTTTCAAAATAAAAAATAATATTATAAAACAGCTGTTCTCTATGCCAATAAAAGTTTCTTCCTTGCCAATCTAATGAATTCATCTATAGGAATGCTTGTCTAGAATGGTCTGAAAATATATTTAATACACTTATTAGTAGAATATTTACTATATTTATACTAATATACAGGTAATCAAATAAAAAATGTACAAATCATTTGGAAATAATTCACAGAAATAAAGACACATTTCAAACATGAATTTCTTTAAAAGTTATTTAGCAATCAATAAACATTTTTTGCAATGCCATTATTAAACCATGTAAAAAATAATTATCTTATTCTGAATCGCGGTAATAATTCGTGCTTGAAGTATAAGGGCGGCGAAGTGTAGAGAGTATGCCTAAACAATAGGCGAATATTTTTCAAATTAGGTACTTTTTAACTAAGCGTTGCAGCGTTCTATCAGCATATTTTCATATATTAATACTTTAGCGACACAAAATAATACTGCATCAATACTTTCATATGTGTATAATTTTTCACAAAGCTGCAATAACACCACATACTCCGGTGAAAATCTGTCATATTTCGTACTCCGCGCATTCCGCCATCTCATTCTGTCCACCTTTATCCGATTCCGCGCATGCGCGCGACGGGACTTTAAGCTAAACGAAAGTGTCCGATCCTTGTAATATAAATCCATGGGTCAGTCAACCATGTTTTCTTCTTCTTCTTCCAATATACTGGCCACCTTCAACTAACTGAAGTTTACTGCCAAGTTAATGCGCAAGACGGAAATAGTGAGGAATATATACAGTGCAGGTTAAAAACAGACTAGAGTGTGGTTTAGATATAGAGTTGGTACAGATGAGTAAGGAATGACTCAACTGTACCGGCTGACGTAGCATCTGGAGGTAGGCTGTTCCAGTCTTTGATGGTGCGTGGGAAGAAGGATTGTTGACGGTATTGTGTACGGCAGTAGGGAATCTTGTAGGATAGGTTGTGTGAATTTCTTGTAGATGTGGAGTTTGAGGGTATGATCATGAGTTGTGTCTTGTGAGTTGTCTAGAGCGACCTTGTTGTTGATGACTTTGTAGAGCATGATCAGTCTGGCCTCCTTGCGATGTTCTTGTAGTGAATTCCATTCAAGGTCTGCAAGCATGTCTGAGACGCTGGACCTGTTGTGGTACTTGTTCTTAACATACCGTGCAGCAAGTCGTTGGACCATGTCTAGACGGTGTATGTCTCCCTTCTAGTGGAGGTCCCAGACAGTGCTTGCATACTCCACTGTGGGGCGGACTAGAGCTTTGTAGGCCGTTTCTTTGGTGGAAGTAGAGGCGATGTTAAGGTTTCATCGCAGGAAGCTGGTGGTAGGGTTGGCTTTGTTACAGATGTTATTTATATGTTGGCCCCAGTCTAGGTTGTTATTCAGGGTGCATCCAAGGTATTTAGCTGATGTGATGTGCTTTAGAGTATGACCATGAAGAGTGTAGTTGTGGCAGATGGTGAGGACTTGGCATTTGTCTGGGTGGAATGACATTTTCCTGTTCTCTTCCCAGACAGCTAGTTTGTCATGGTCAGCTTCTAGGGTGGAACAGTCAGACTTGTTCGTGATGGCAAGGTAGGCCAGCGTATCATCTGCAAATAGTGGGACGACTGCGTTAAGACCCTCTGGGATGTCATTTATGTAGAAAAGGAACAGACTTGGGCCAAGGACTGAGCCCTGTGCGAGGCCAGATTCTACAGATACTGAATCTGAGGTAACTCCTTCCAAGACTACAGACAAAAACTCACCTTGTTTATCGTGTCACACGTCCTAGATGGGTGCTCACAACAAGGAACGGAAGTTGCTCACAACATTTTTACCGATGGACATTTTACACTCGTTGTGAGTTAAACGGGCGTGACTTATCTCCTCCATGATATATCTTGCATCTTTATCAACTATGGCTTTAACAGTATTCTTATGTCTTTTTCAGAGGAAGCGAAAATTGGCCGCCAGGGCAGGGATCATCCTTAACAGTCCTACCTTCCTCAGACTTTAACACCCACCTGGCAATTGTACAATATGGAAGGGCATTTTCTCAATAAACTAAATCTAGATCCATTTAATTTCTGATGTGCATTTACCCAATAACCCACAAATTTTGCAATAACCTCATTGATCCTCTCTCAAATCACAATGCAACTTAGCCATGTTTACAACCAGTACACAAAACCACATGTATTTAAATCAATAAATGACCTGCTAAAAGTTTACTGCATGTGTAAATCGTGCCAAAATAGACTGTTGGTTAGTCACCAATAATGTTGTTTAGAAACCAATAATCTTTACAACGGTATATTAGACATGTATGTACTTTCACGTTCAAATCATGGTTAAATTGAGTTGTTGCCATTACAGTTGACTCTCGTTATCTCGAAGTCATCGGGACCGTCCAAAAAATATCGAGATAACAATAAGTCGAGATAAACATATGAGAGTTTGAACAAGGCAGAAACTGATTTTTACAAATGACATGTGCATACCTTATGTCAAATAAACTATGATATCCCCGTGTCTTGTTTTCATAAGCGTAGTCAATATTTAACAAAGTAACATTAGCGGATGTTTACCAGCGGAAATACAGGTGTCTGTGATAAAAACACATGGTAGGGTTTACTCAGTAATACACCAATATAGTGAAAACATTGTTTTCAGGGTGGTTGATCCTGATATCCTCCCAGGTTAGTTATCAGGTCTTTCTCAAGATTGTTCGACCGCTGATTGATTTGTTGATGTTGTGAAACAATATTGCAACGATAACGTTTCTATACTTTCACTATTTCATTTACATTTAAAGTCATAATGAATTGATACAGTGTTTGAATATTTATAAAGAACGTAAGATTCACTCATTTTGGACATAAGTCAATCAACACGCTAATTAGATTAACTTTTATAATAACAGCTCAACTTGTTACAAACATAATAATAATGTAATCATCTTTATGACAAGTGCTATTGAGCAACTATCGTCTGGTTTGTGTTGTTTCACACGTCTGAAGGGAACAGACGAAAGAAAACTATTAGTCGAGATAAACAATAGAGAATAGTGTGAAAATAACTGTCCGGGCTAAAATTTTACATCGAGATACTGAAAATGTCAAAATAAAAATATCGAGATAAACAAATATATCCAATATAGATAAAGAAGGAAGAAAATCGGGACTTTCAAAATTTCATCGAGATAAAGAAATATCGAGAAAAGCGATGTCGAGATAACGATAGTTGACTGTAATTAAAATATGCCCCTTGTAGATGAACTTATATTTCATCTGTAATGTTGGATAGAAAACGTAGTTACTTATGGAATTGGCTCAGGATGTTTTTAGGATCGTTGTATGATAATGTCCATCCACATGTAATTATATAATGGTAATTAAATTGAAGCATTTCCATATTGATTGTAATTAATTAATTACATTGAACCCATGTTTTACAGTTTAATTAGCTAACTGTATCAATTAAGAGCCTAAGACCCTTAATAATCAGGTGTGCGATATAAGGGCTATCAATTTGCCCCCTTGTTTTATTATAACATTAAACAAAGTCAGAATTCAGTTTTATCCTGTCACTTGTATCAATTTCGGCCCGATAACAAGGTGCCGTATATTTTTACTGATCTACGGCACTTGATCACGTGGTATGCATAGTTTGTCTGACTACTTTTCAAGAAAAAATATAAAAACTGTCGTTAAATCTTCTGTGTGTAGAATAACGAATTTTGGAAACGTTGATAAAACTTTGTTTGTTTATTTTATTTCACTCTATAATTTTTCAAGCGAAATAAAAATTATTAAAAGTGAAATAAATGTAAAACTTAACTCGTTTGCGACATTAAAATAGCGTACTTGATTTGATTGTTTTGCACGTGCTGTTTGGCGTTACATTGTGACGTCACGTAAACAATACTTTAAACGTCTGTACAGCGTTAACGACTGAATAAAAGATATTGGTGTTCGGATTCATTTTCTTAGTTAGATCATTTTCTTTCATTCTAGATAGTTTTCACAACAAAATTGTTTTTATTTATCACATTTTTCAAACAAAATGGCGCCCTCAATGTGAAAATACACAGGGAGATAATAAGAACAGCGAGTGCATTGTTGTAGAATAATGCACGCTTAGGGCCTTCTTTGTTTATAAAGAAATAAAACATTTCAGATAGTGTGATTAAAGGTAGTTTGCTTAATAAAATTCTTTAAAAAAAACGGTGACAGGATAAATAGAATAATAGATTGGTGCCGTGGATGGAGAAAGTTTATCTGGCGAGGCGGAGGAATTTATTTGGTGAGCCGAAGGCGAACCCAATTAATTCCGGAGCAGAGCCAGATAAACTTTCTCCATCCACGGCACCAACCTATTATTCTCTATGTTTAGGGTTGGACCACAGGTGTTTGGGGCATGGATTGGTCACTATGCAAAAAAAATCAAATTGCATCCAACTAACACAATAACTAAATTACAATGTCAAACTAACATTTTTTTGTTTGTCTTTTCAGCTTTCACAGAAAAGATAGGCAATATACCATTTGCCTCACTGATAGCATGTATTATTGTGTTTGTTGGAGTCGGGGTATTTTGTGGCACGTTATATCGTGCGCTGACAATCATTATTAAGTCTGTAATGCAGGAGCTCTTCCAATTCAACGTATCATGGTAAGTTATACTCTATTATAATGCTATTCTAATTGATTATAGATTGCCTTTGGTGAATTAAATTTATTTACTATTTAACCTGCATGAATTTGAACTGAAAGTGAATATCACATCTAACTGAGGGTGATAGAAGGAAATGTTCACCAGAAGCAAGTGATGTCAACCATGGGGTAGTGACATTCCCAAATTTCACCCTTTGATGTCATATAAGTACCATATATAAAACTTGTTAGGTTACAGGTATAAAAATAGCATTTGCTGCCAGTATAGAGCCAGGCCAGTCTGTTTACATTCCACATTTTTCTGGAGACAGAAGACATTTTTTGCCTTAATTTTCCTTGCCTGTTTGATATACACTGTCTCCTTATGATCAACTTACATGTATTATTGCAAATGGTGCTATTCAATTATTACTTTGGTTTGGATCTTGGTACTTTCTTGAAATTATTGCTTTTCAAGTAAAAGATGTGAAAAAAAGATTTGTTTCTTTTGAAATAATCTTCTAAATCAGTGTCTTGTACATTGCCTTCGCAAATTTATATACATGTAAAATTGATACATACATGTACATTTATTTATTTCAGGTTGGAGGTACTACAGATTGTATTTATAGTGATTGCTGTAGTGATGGCACTGTTTGCCATACTTCTGTTGATATTTTCTTTCCTAGCAACAGGAGCAACTAGAAAGAATGTTTATTCTGGAGCCAGTTGCATTATGGGTGGCCGAATTTCAGCAGCATTTGTAAGTATCAGTGTGTATTAATGATTGTGAAGAGGTTTCCATACATGTAGGCCTCCTTGCTTGAGTTGATAAGATCACTGTGTTATAATAGCTCACCTGTGCTTAAGGATGACCATGAGCTACAAGGAATGATCAAGTGTCCACCCATCTTCTATGATCTAGATCAAATCTATATAAAACTTGCTCAAAATGTCTCCCATTACATGTAACTCTTAACAATTTTACGGTAAAGTGTTAATTTGAGAAATCTGGGTGCAATAACTTGGTCACCAGGTTGCATCACAGAAAACCCTTGTTATTTAGAGGTTGATTTTATTTATGAAGCCTCGGGAAACAGTATTTTCCTTAGGATGATATTTTTACTCTTATTTATTTTATATTTTTACTGTTACTCACAAATATACAATGTATGTATTATTTGATTAATTACCCGAAAAATATGTCTTTGGGACACTGTTAAACGTGTTTCTATAGGTTTTTATTTTTCAGATGTTTACTTTGAAAATACTATTACCTGTGTACATGTAGCAATACAAACACATGGTTCACAGAAATACTAGTAAACAGTAAGAATAACTCCTATTGGCCTATGGGAAATTAACATTACAAAAATAGTGAGGGGTAATAAAACCATCTATTTCTACTTTCAATGTTTACATATTGTAGAGTTTTATCTGTCATTTGAGCACCTAATTATAGTTAATATAATCTTAGGGAAAGTTAGGGTACTCCTACTAATGTAAATCAAGTTTGAAGTTTTCATTTTTCATTCACCTTAATAGGATTTGGTTTCATATAAATGACCTTAAGATAAAGTTCTTACTAATAGTTACTTTCAAAGGGAGTGGCAGTTGACAGAGATTCATCTGTTTTTACAATTAATATTTTCCTTAACCTTTCTGTTGTATTTTGTGAAATGATTAATATTCCTGCTTGATCCAATTGGGTTAAAGGTTAATATCTGTACATGTTAAATTTTTACATTTAAAATCTATTATTTAATCATATAAGGTAAGGGACCCTCATCAGGCTAAATATCTAAAATGGACTTGTCCGTCCTTGAATCTGGACAGAATAATATATCATGTTTAATAAATATGATAAGCAAACAGTGCAGATCATGGTTAGTCAGCAAAAATGACTGGTTTCATGGGTAAATGTGCTATGGGTAAGCCAATAACATATCCGGGTTTGAGCTCACTGTTGTCATTGTAATGTTTCTAATTTGATACTGTAAATGTGACTTAAATTTTTCATCCAGGAATTGTACTAGGGAAGTGATTAATCTGAAGTTGGTTAAGATTTCGGATCAAAAATATTTTGAATTTGATTTGAATTAAAACACTGCTTATAAATACATTATAACATCTGCTGATTGTAATGTAGATCACTATAATGCATAGTAAATTCATTGAGCTTTCCAAGAATTCTTTAGATATTCAATGTTTTCTGTGAACATTGAACATTCATAAGAGAGCTAACTCTGCCAGATATATTATATTCTTCATTCAGTTAAAATATTGAGTTGCTTCCCTTGGATAAGTAGATTTTTTTATAACTTTTAGAGATGTTGCATAGAAACAATCAAACTACAGGGCTCACGCTGTCGGTCGCCATAGTCGCCATTTGCGATTATTTTATAAGATTGGCGATTATTTTTGCATTTTGGCTACAAAATCTGGCGATTATTTTTTACTTCCAACTTTATTTTTTTTACTTAACTACATTTACCTTAAGCATACTGCCTATAAAAGACACTATTTAAAATGAAAATATTAGGTTCTTGTGGATATATAAGTTTGCCAGAAATTGTGCCTAGCATAGGTTGTTATATACATGTACAGTAGTATTTTATAGATCTATAATTATGCAAAGCTGAAATAATATTCTTTTGTGTTATATCATCATTCTAAAATTAAATCTTGTGCAGTTTGCCCAGATGTTTATAATTTTAACAGCACTTATAATTTTCGGTTTGTTTTCTTGAAATCTCCTGAATTTTTAACTTGTATCTTAACATTACATTGAGGAATAGTGATGGGGGCCTTGAACTCAAACTTGGGTCTTTAGTCTTTACCATTTTTCTTTATATGGCACAACTCCAGTATGTTTAGTTGCAGGAAACAGACTCAAGAATTATTTAAATAAGCTACAATCTTATTTTGCTATCCAGCTTTAAAAAAAAATGAAGAAAAAAAAAAATTGTTTAGAAATAAAAATCTATAAGGTTGCATGTGAGCAAATTTAGAAAGTGCTGAATACGAATTTTCTCGCTTTAACATAATATAAGCTATTCAAGGCCATCCTACTTATATAACATTATCTACAGTAAACCCAGTTATCTATCTTTCACTTAGTGACATTTTCTATGAATGCGTATTTGACTGAGTAACTTTTTCACATATAGATTTTTTGTGTTTTGACCGAATTCTTTTATCTAGTTGTCATTAAAGATAATGAGGGGACCATCATAAAATAAAATGAGGGGAGCGGTGGCCTAGTGGTTAAAGTGTCTGCCTCTCAACCCAGGGATTATGGGTTTGAGCCCTACTTGGGTCACAGTCATGTTTCCTCATATACACTGTATCACCAGTACTGGTTAGTTCAAGGAAGCAGACTCGAAAGTGATTAATATAAGTTGCAAGTACTTGTTTCATAATGGAGTTAGATATAAATATGTTTAAACTAAATACAAATTTATGAAATATGTGTGGAAGCTATCGTGCTGAAGACGTTCAGAAGATCAGAAATTTTGAGGTGCCCTCTTGCTTTCAAAATAAAACAGAGCCGGGCACCAGCTAATGCCCTTTTGCTTTCAACATGATACAGAGCAGGGCACAAGATGTCCTTCTCCAACAGTGAAGCATAAATGTAGCAATTTGCCCATTGCAGTATCCATGTGACTAAAAAATTGGACAGTAAAATAAACACAGAAAAATTGTTTTCATGATATTAAAAATGGAGTATTTTTGCACATATATATTTCAGTAAAGAATTTGACATATGGGAGATAATAAAAAAAAATTGTATTTTTGTCTACTCTTTATAAGGAAATCTCTTTTTACTATTTGACTTCTAAATTTGTCCGTTTTATTTCTGTACTTTACTTAGGTTCACAATCTCTAACGGAAAGATATGTCCCACCTATTTTCATACAATATGAGGTGAAAATTAAAGTGAAGATGGTACCTTTTTTCATTGCTTGTTCGAATTTATAGCGGACAAAATCATTAACCTTAATGCACTCTTCCTAGATAAATCGGACAAGTTGCCCACATGTTTGTTCATGTAGGAGAAACCCTTCATTTCCATCTTTAAAGTGAATTGGTCTATAATGGACGATCTGGTATTCTATAAATAATTATGTTGATAGTGTTTAGTATCGTACATGAAAACAAACCACCAAAAAATTATATATGGTTGTTGATTGTAAGTGTTAGATTACATGAACCCTTATGACATAATTGTTCAAATATAGCAGATAATATAGTGTTCCAGAACACACACAACAATTATTGTACATCATATATAATTATGTTCACATTAAATCACTTAAGAACTCTTTATCAACATTTTTTTCTGGAAATATTTCATAAGGATATCTAAGTGTTACATTTCTATTGTTTTTATCAATATTTGAAATACTTATGGAAAATGTGTCCCGTTGTAGACCAATCCACTTTTATGATATTTGTCTAATATGAACACATAGTTGAACTGTTTTTTCCTACATTGAAAAAGTAATTTCAGACACCATCTTACTTAAAATTTAGAAATGATTCAAATGAACATTCTTTTGTAACATTCTTCGGTAAAAATGATTAACTACCTTTAAAAAACAGTTTTTGACATTTTCAAGCGCATGCATGTCACTCATGTTTCACTTGTGATGCACTATGCTCCTCCTTGTACTAGCAAAGTACGAGGTGTCAGATGATACTATTTATAGAGCAAACTAACCTTCAAAACAAATTATAAATATGGATTAATGGCATCTGTTATACTCACACTATCAGAAAGCTGCTGTTTCTGAAACCTTCCAGTAGTGTGAACAAAACATCGTGCAGGCTTTGTTTAACTTCTTTAAGCTGTATGTATTAGTATAATTAATCATTTTCAGACAATGGCAAAGTGCTTATAACCAGAATAGTTTAATATATAATTATTATAAATGACATTTTAATCCAAAACATTTTAAATTTGTAGGATGGACTTGCCCTATTTTGAATCTGTCCTGGAACAGTCCATTGTTAATGGGACTCCACTGAGGTTTTTTGACACGATGGGACTGGAAATAATTTTTTAAAGATTAATGTTCCATTTTATAATAGTCTTGACCAATAACTTGTGTGCAAAATTTCAGATCATGATCGCTTATTATAATCGTGTCACAGTGCTCAAATTAAGCAACAGCTCACTGTATGGAGACTTAACTAACTTGACAACTGAATTAAGATTTTGATGATCCAGAAAGTGGTCTTCTTTAATGATATTAGTTTAGTATTTACAGAATTAATTTTAGTTCAGTTGTGTCAGAAGCTATAAGCTTATAGACACACTCTCAAATCAGTTCCTCTTAGCAATGAGTGTAAAGTTTCTTGCTCATCCTGAGTTTATTCTGCCAAGCTAATGACAATTATAATTACCTTTAAAACAGTTATGTACTCCAGGAATTTCAAGGCCAGGGTTCAAGGTTATATAGAAATTCTCTGAGCTCAATCTCAGATCTCAAAGTATTTGATTGGTCAGAAACGCCAACCAATGAAAATCCTGGGATTAATGAGACAGAACTCAGGAAAAAAAATTTATAATCTCCGGGCCAGATAGTATCAAGGCTGCTAATGCTTCATATTGACAAAAGATGTAATTATACATAAATATATGCTTAATAATTATAACAACCATAGAGAAAACATTTTGTGTAGGCAACTAAATAGTTATTCACACATTTATTAGTAATATTACATTTATGTCACATGTTCCCTTTTGTGGCGTACATA